TTTTATGAGCTCTGATTGCTTGCTTGAATTGAGTGTGGCTGATGTTATGTCTTTTGTCGTTGAGATTGGCATTTAGACCAATTGTTATGTACGTAGACTGCATGTTAGAATGACCTTTACCCTGCTAACACTATTTTTCTACAGGTGACTGTGATAAAAAGTGATAGGAAAGGGGCACACAATTAAATTAAATTAACTATGCTTATGCAGGTGCTTGATATTATGTGCCCTCATATAAGCACATCAAGGATCTGATGCTGCAGTGCTAGGTCGAAGTAGTGTTTGCGTGTTGATGAATTTTGTTATACTAACGCCTTTTTGAGGTGTCAAAGTAAGCGTCGGTTTTCTCTTTCTTGAGTTAAGAGTTGGGATAGTTTCTATCTATCGGTTGGCTTCGATGCCTTGGGGGTATGAGGTGTGACCTACTTGAAGATGGAGCAAGGATGGTCCTCAATGAGATGATGAAGTATGGATGATCTTCAATATGATGGCGGAGCTAAAGGAAGATACTTAACAAGATGACGTAGTTAAAGGATGATCCCCAAGTTACTAGGACATGAATTGAAGACACCTAGATGACTAAGGTGCTAATGGGGATTGTTGTAGGCTTAGGCCGGGCTGTATGAGAGATAGATGCTTGGTTGCCCATTTTCTTTTTCTTTTTGGTGTATAATAGCATTTAGCTACCTTGTTTTCCTTATTAATTGATTTTGCACATTAGATATACCTATTTTTTCCTATGTTTCTTTCTATGATTGTATGCTTATATAGGCCTAAATCATTTTATACTCATAGAATTGAGAGATTTTCTACCCAATCTCAACTTTAAGTTAATTTTAAGAAAAATAAATCTCATGACTATAATTAAAATAAAAACTCATAACCAAATAAAAATATATGCATTTCATACCATTAGCTATCCCATTAGCATGCATTTAATACTAACCAGCTTTAAAAAAATCAATTAAAAAATTTAATGATTAAGGTGAACCATCTACATATGAAAAGCATCATATTATATTTTCTCTTTGTCTCCTCAGGCCTTCACTCATTGTGCGGAAGGGGGATCTAACCAGTGAAAATCACCACCCTTAAATAGTGAAGTTGCTATTCATTTATCAACCTTAATGATTTTCTAACATGTATCATATATGGACTTGCATAACTCTATTCACACCTTACACTTCTTAGTCAGAGCCTCACTTGTAAATAAAAAATGTAATTAAATGATTTTTTCTCGATCGATCATGTCTTGATTAAGTTCATTGTCATTTTCACTTGGCTCTATCGAGTCGATATCATATTTGCATAAATAATAAAATTTTAAATTTTAAAATGACAATATTTGAGTGATGAGCATATATTTACCTGGGCCCCTCGAGCTTTAAAATCATGTCTAAAGTCTCAACACATCTTCTGGTAACAGCCTACCAGTGCATGTGACTGGACTCATGATTTTAAAGCATAGGAGGTGTTAGCTAGCAGCCTACTCTGATATGCCTTTGGATATACTTAATTTCTTCTTTATTTTTTACAAGTTTTTGAATGAAACTTCACTTTAATGGAATGTATTTTTATGTTTCTAATGTAGGTATAACAAGTAGGAGCATTGGAACAAATTTGGATCGAATCATAGTGAACGAAACTAAATGGAGCAAAGATGTTGATTATGGTCTAGCACCTAGGCGTCTACTTTTGGGCGCCAAGGTGTTGTAATTGAGCTCCTTAGCACCAGGTTTTAGCGTCTAGGTGCCCAAGCTTTTAAGTAGACAGAGAGCCCGATGCCTAGACGTTTTAGTTCAGATGGTTACTTTTTGCACGACACCTGGAGTTATTTTACGGGTGCTAACAGTTCAGACGAGGAGTTTTGGAAATCTTAGGAGTAGGGAAGAAGTTTGAAGTCTTGTTATATTCCAAGGATAGTAGGCAGTAGTAGGAACTCTTATTTTAGAGAGATTTGAGAGGGGAATTTGAGAGAATTTGTAAGGGGTTTACGACAACATCTTATGTAGCACTGTGGAAAGCATCGTCCGGTGTAATTTGCTTTCTTTTAAGAGGGAAAAGGCTAAATATTGTGTGTAATCTTATTTGATTATTGTTGTAAACACATATTTAGTTAATTTGCTTTGATTTAATAAAGTTTTCTTTGGTGTTTATCATGTATAGTGAGTAGATTTCTTGTACTTTTCTTTTGTGAAAGATATGTTGAATTTGTAGGGTTGTGAATGCTTTGAATTGATTTTTATTTTCATGTGATAAGTATATTTTTAGACTTAATTTACATGTTGGATTGGTCATATAACTTGTTAAAATTCATTGTGACTCATTAGGACTCGAAAGAGCGATGGCGAAACAACAAAGAATATTCACATTATGTGAATGGCTATAAAAGATCAGTCATGAGGCAATGCAACTTAGGGAGATGCGTATCGATATAGTTTGAAATAGGAGTTTCTTGGGTGACAAATGAAAACAATTACCTAAATTTGAATCATACTCGTTTATGCACTCGAAAAAGGGTAAATGAGTCTTATGCTCTTATTGTCACTACCACATTACATTAGTATTAACTCCTATTATCCCTTCGATTTTTCTACATAAAAACTCCAATTATCTTTTATGTCGATTTCTTTTTACTGTGTATGAACCGGATCTTTGTACAACACTAAAATGTTAATATATCACTTTATCATCGCGAATTTACGAGCACACAACAATTATGAAAACCTAGAGGAATAACCCAAATAATATTAATAGACACCAAACTTCCAAGTAACAAATTCAAGGGGCATTTATATGCATATCACCAAAATCCTCTGTCTTTACATATACACTTAAACTTTACTTTTTTAGATTCATACCACTCAAATCTTTCATATCACGTAAAAATTATCGCCATTTTAACTTTTAAAAAGTGAATTACACATTTTCATGCATAGGTAAGTTGCTATGTTTGTAAATATAAAAGTATTGGTGTTAGATTTGTAAATACATAAGATATGAGTGGTGTGCATGTAAATCTTCCTAAATTGAGATACAGTGGCTGCGAAGATAATCAGGCTTTTGCTTAGGTGGCTTTTTGACCGACTTATTCCAGTGATTTGGAAATAATCTTTATTTCTCAAATAATAAAGTGTCTCTGAATAAGGGCTCGTTGGGGGCAGTTTATAAGTGCGGCGGCGTTTTTGAAAACGCCGCTGCACCGTTTGTTTTGTGCGTTTGCGTAGCTTATTTTATAATCCCGTTTTCGATTTGGAGAAAAGCTGGTCGCGGGTCGATACCCGCGATCAATATTCAAAACGCGCGATTGTGAAATATTTTACGCGCACAAATATTTTACGCGTGAAATATTTTACGCGCACACCCTTCGTCGTCTCTTCTCCTCGTCGTCCTCTGCTACTAGCGTTCCACTCCTCTGGAGTCCAACTAACGAAGAACTTAGCGGAGAATCAATCGTCGAGATCCTCTCATGGGGCCGAGGTAGCTCCGGCCAGCTTGGCGGCGAAAAAGAGGAGATCTGCTTCTACCCGACCGTTGTCGCTTCTCTTCGCCTCCCTGCGGGCTTCCGGCTTTCCTCCACCTCCGGTAAACTCGACAGCTACGACTTTTCTTCTGCCGGTGAGTTTGACTTTTGTATGTGTAACATATTCGTTTGATGTGATCGGATATGTTTTAGTTATATAAATATAAATCAATTTTTTGATATTTTCTTTTCTGAACAGTGATATTTAATTTTGTTGAGAAAAGAACAGATTCTGCTGCACAGATTATTCATTTAATTAATTTTTTTTCCAAATAAGCTGTTTACAAAACGCACTAATCAAACAGTTAAACTGTTTATTCAGAACAGGGGCAAAATGGTCAATTTTTCAGGATCAGCTGTTTTCCATAAGCGCCAACCAAACAACTAGACAGTTTATCCGGATCAGCTGCTCATCAGCAGATTATCAGGATAAGTCAGGATAAGCTGCGGTATCAGCAGAAGCTGGATAAACTGCAGCTGCCCCAAACAGACCCTAAATCTCATGGTTATATAAGTGATGTTATTATCTTTATCTTCTACTAAAAAATCATTTTTTTTAAAATTCTATTGACCGAGAAAAGAGCAAGAAAAAGAAAAGAGTGAATCATATCATATTTCTTAATTTATTTGAGCAATACGTAAGTTGCTAATAATGTATCATTGGCAAAACTATCAGTATGATTTTTGAGGCATCTAATGAAGATGCAATTGACAGTTAACTAATGAAAATATAAAAATTCTATAATGCTAAGACTGATTCTATTTACTACAAATAGGATGTTATTGGTCAAGTGCAGGAGAAAGAACCATCAATCCCTCAGATGAAACTGTCATTTCCCATTCTGATACATAATTTTTGTAGTATTTACCTCATGATATCTTTCTTCATTTGAATTGTTTCTTTGCAACTCAAATTGCCCAGTCCTTCTCCACTCAGAAATATTTGGTTGGGTTTTTATAGATCAATTCACTAAGATTAATTGGGACTTATTTAAGCATCATCCATTTCTCTAATGTGGCATTGGTGTATTTTTCACAGACAACATTAAGGCAATTTCATGTCACCATGAAAATGCAACTCTTTGAATCCTAGGTTGCTTGTCCATTTGCATAGTCACTACATGGTTACAAAAATATAATCATAAACTTCCTTAAAAAATTATAAAAAAAAATTGAAAGTTAACATGTCTCAGAAGAATTGAAGTCTGCATCTATAACTTGTTAAGGTTCATAAGAGTATAGATTTTAGTTCTCTCCAAATGATAACAATAAAATTCATTCAAAAAAAAAAAAATACACATAACAGCAAAGATCACTTGCCTTCAAACAAAAAATCAACTTCACTCACTCAAACAAGCACAATTAGTCAAAAAAGTAAAATAAAAAATAAAAAATAATTAAAAAAAAGAAAAGAAACCCAACAACAACAAACAACCTCCCAACCTTTTCACAAACAACATCACATAATCATTCCTCATCACAACAATGGCTGAAAACATTCCAAAGGCATCTTGCCATGAAACCTATACACATCCTTGCAATAATCATAAATCATATAGTTATTCCTCACCCATTCCAGCTGACCAAGCTGAGCATAGCCCAACTTACTATATTGAGGAGATGCCCACCAATTCTTGGGTGTGTTCCATGAACAATATTGAGTGCTTCCTTGTCCATACCAGTAACAAGCTCGCAGCTTCAATTCTCTATATCTTGCTATAAATGGAGCACTGCTCCAATCAATCTTCACCAACCCTCCTCTGGTAGCCCAGTTATCAGCATTCCATAAGCTTGAATAAACCTTCATGGCTCGAGATTTCGGGTAGGGGATGCCAATTTTTTCGTAGTTTCTGTACACTCTGATTGGTATTCCATCAACGAACCAACTAAAAGAAATATGTTTGTTAGATGTAAAACTAGACTTTTCTGAAAAACGGGCAATGAATTCCATTTCAAGCTCAAAAATGTAAAATTTCTTCATATAAAACAATTGGAAATGCATCAGAAGAAGAAATCTTACACAATCTGGCTTGGATTCCAGTGAATGGTGTAGTTATGGAAATCTGCAGTTGGATCAAACCAAGGATAGAACTGCTGCTCCCTTTGGCCTACCCCATTCACAAAAACATTTGTGTGAATGGTGTATGGTTGTCCAGAAACATTTCCCAAAAACTCAAAATCAATCTCATCATGTTGGTCTCCGGTCGACGACATCTGAAATTTAATTTTACAGAAAAAAAATTACATATTGCACCCTGACAGTGCATGCTCTTCTGAGTTCAATGCTACAACTTACATAATAGGCAGTGACTGTTCCTGCTGCACACTAGCTCCTTGACTTTTGCTGAATTCCCAGAAACAAGTTTTATTTGCATCTCTATGCTGCCAAAGAGAAACTGGTTCTTGGTTTGAATGCCTGAGCCTGGACCAAATCAATTTGTTCAAGCTTATAAATTTTTGGGTATGTTTATAAACTTCTATTATTACATCAAAAATATCACTACTATTTACTTCTTAAAACTAAAGTACACCTTTTCATGCATTGGTTCATGGCACCAAAGTTTTGGTAAATATAACTATCAAACTTTAGGTGTCAGATATGTAATAATACAAAATAATTGTATGATATGTATGTAAATTTTCCTAAAATTTGTTGATTACCTGAGTTTCGATCGAGCAGCAGAGCGAGATTATCACCACTGCCCCAAATTGCAGAGTTCTGATATCCCCAGTTGAAGAAAGTATCCTGAAAGAAGTTTGCTGCATCAACTTTGCTCAGCTGCAATGTTGATAGAAGCAGAAGGGCAGTGAGGGAACATGTCAGGCTCTTCATTTGCGAAATTGGACTCATTTTGGCGTATAGAATGTAGTTAGAAGTCTTTGGCTTTGGAATTTACTGATATGATTTGATTTATATAAGATTTGAAGGTTGTTGTTCGAAACAATAAGAAAAATATTGTTTTGATGTTGGCATGTCTGTTTTAACATTACTGTCGTATAGTTTGGTGCAACATTATTTTTTATTTGCAAAGTTTGAATATTGAAATAGAAGTTGTGCTCCTCAAAAAAACACTTTTTTTATTGCATTAAATGTTCTCTTTTGAAGGAATTCACAGAAGCAGAGAAGAGCAGGATTATAGTTTTCTACCTTTTGAGTTTTTATGTATGATATCCTGAACAACTAAAATTCTCTGCCGGAATTAAAGTAATAATTAATCAGCAACTTAGTGAGGCGCACAACTTTGGCCAGCCGAAGTGATGGAAAATATAAACTATCTTCAAGCTAAGCTGTTAAACATTGGATTACTTGACAGATTTAACGCGGAGATCAGCAAACATTTGTCTGGTATAGTTTTATTGAGTGCTAGAACATTTGCAGAGGTAGAAATTAAATTTTTTGTATTAATGGTGCATAAATTATTGCGAATATTTAGACAAATGACGCTGATGCAGGAGTATATGTTAAATGCTCTCAGAAGTAAAAATTATGTGGTCTGGTCTAAGCTGAAATAGCTCAATTCTTGAAATGTTTTTTTTTTTTTTTTTTTTTTTTACCATGAAATAACTCACTTCAAATTTGCGAAGGTTGTATTGTAAAGTTTAAATTGTTGACTTCCAGTCTTCTATGAGAGTAGTGAAAAATGATAGAGAAATAATGAAGGTTGATGGGCGTTAATAGGTGTTAATGTTGGTTGATGATCATCTTAAATAGTCAGGTGATGATGGCTGTCACAATTTGTTGAAAACAAGTGAAACTGTGAAAGTGGTTGGGTCACTACAAATTTCAACCATTGTTGATAGGAATTTGTTAGGTGTGGAGTCTGACTTGAAGCATCAACACACGCTCAAAAAGACCAGGTGCTAGGTGCCTAAGCGTCGAGCGGTGGGTGCTCAAGTGCCCATTGTAGGGCCAATACTTAATTTGTTCTATACTTTAATAGCTTGATTTTCTTGTTTGATTTAATAGATGATGACTTGTGTTAGTCAAATTATTTTAATTTTAGTCAATTCCAATTGTTTTGATGGTTTGATTTGTTGGAATATTTTATTTTTATCTCAATTTGCTTGATTAAATATTTTAGTCTATTAGTTTGATTAGCTTAATTGCATAATTATCTTTTAATTTTAACCTTTTGATTAATGTCACTTGATCTAATCAATCGGCTATGGTTTTACATAAAGTGATTGAATTTGTATTTATTTTTTTATGATATTATTTTAATAATTAATTTATAAGCTAAATATTCGCTTGATTGGCAGCCGATAAAGTTTTTTTCTTCATTAAATTTTATTTCAAGAGTAGTTTAGGTCTTATTTGCTAATATTTTTTTTTGGTTTTATTATTTTAATTTTAGAAATGGTTAAAAAAAATATAATAAAGTAAATTCGAATGCTTGATTTTGCTTCTATTTTTATTTTTTTATTTTTGAAAATAATTTGAACAGCTTTTAAAAAAATACTAATTATAAATTTAAAGTATTTTTTCTATTTTTAAAACATTTCTTCTCTCAAATTCAGCATAAAATAAATTGAAAAAATTTATGGAAAAAATTTATGGAAAATCTTTGAATGATTGGAAGAACTCTTTTATTATAATATTGGTGTGGCTTGTTTGCCTAACGAATGAGTCAAATACGAACTGTTCACGAACAACGAGCATTTTTGACAGCGCTAATGGCGAGCGACTAGCAGACAACGACGGCTAACAGGCGGGCAGGTGACATTGGCTGCGGCAGATGGGAATTGGAGGATGGAGGAAGCGACGAAAATGGGTGGAGGACAACGGCAGGCTATGGGCAGACGACAACATCGGGCAAGCGGCGGGCTAGGCAAATGTTCGTTTTAGTGTTTTAAAAACAGACAAAAATATATATATTTTTTTCTTTTTGTAGTATTTTAAACATAGAAGTATTATCCCAAAATATAAAAATAAAAATAAAACAAAAAATAGATAAGCAAATACTATTTTTATGTTTAATTTCTATTTTTTATTTTAAAAATAAAAAAATACATATGTAAAATAAAAATTGATCCCAAATAATGGCTTAAATTCCTAAAATGTATATAATTATTAAAAGAATTGACAAAATAAATATTTAAGGAAAAACAAAAAAGAAACACGGAATTGAAAGGGCTTCAACCAAGGGCGGCCTCAGAGCTCAAAAAAGAGCATGATGTTATTTGGGCTTTGGCTTTCAACCATCCTTTACAAAATATATTTAAGAAAAAATGTAACAAATATATGTTTTATATATATAGAGAGAGTTGATGTATGTTACAACCATTATTCAAATGTTAAATTAAATTTCAGATGCATATTTTAATTGGAATTTATACATATGCATGGGTGTGAGTGTGTGTACGATATTTGTATATTTGAAATTAGATATTTATTTTTTCAAATTAGCTTTGGATTTAACTAAATTTTTTTTCTTCTAAAACCAAACTAGAAATAGGAATCCAATTAAATCTCATTTCAAAATTGATGTAAAATTGAAATCTCGCTCTCTCAGTTATAGGAAAAGGGCGTAGCTTTGTGTTTTCTCACTTATAATGAATTACTTTGATTGAGTTGGACTCTAAAATTTTTCTCTTCCAGGGTCTTTCAACTGTCCGCATAGAAAATCTTGATGTTTGTTTGTTTTTCTATCTTGTTTGTGTTTGTTGGATCTTTGTATAATACTAAGACATTAAATTATCACTCTATCGCTATAAATCTCCCGACAAAAAAAAAAATTATTATGGAATATGAATGAAAACCATTATAGAACATCCACTCCTTTGGTCTATTCCATTCATGCATGTAAAAGTACGATCATCCTTAATTGATATTTTAATGTGTTTTTATGGCCAATTATTTGTATCTTTTATGAAATATGAATGAAAACTTATATCTTTCATCTTAATTTTCAGACCCTTTTATTCCTTCATTATGGACCTTCAACAAGTACTATAAAACCCCTCTAACACCACCACCTCTTCCATTTACATCTCCCCAACCCACTCAAAACATCCCCTTTTCCTCAACTTATCAAAGCCAAAACTCAACACAAGAATATATATTTTCTACTTAGACAATCCTTCTAATATAAAGGTCATCTTGACCATGGCCTATGTTGCATCATATAAGAAGACTATCTTAGCTTATTTATTATGTAATTATTCTTTTCATGCCTATTAACTAAGCATTAGTATTCTTACTCTCAATTAATAGGGTTTGATTTCACTACCAACATGATTCATTCATCAATCTGATGCAATAATTTTATTTTATGATTTTAATTAATCTATAGTTGATTCATGATTGACATGAATTTTTCTATCTCTCAACAATGAATACATCCCTAAATTGTAATGCAATATTAGTAATTTTAAGGTCATTTTCATGCACATTGCTTCTCTTATATTGTATATTTAGTTTGATAGGTTTTTTATGACAATTTGGATATTTTATTTACCCTTTTTTGTGTATTTATGCCAATTGATAATCTTAATATAAGAGAATAATTCATGAGTGGGGATAAATTTAATAGCAATTATTTGAGGATAGTAACATTTTATTTATATAGTGGGTTTTATACTTACTTTAATTGTACAACTAACTTATGGTGGATGATCTTTTATTGGACTTTATTTTGAGGTTATGGTCATATAATAACTTTCTCTCTTAAGGCCCGTTTGGTTCGTTGAAAAAAAAGAATACGATGTAATTAAATAAATTACATTTACAATATTTTAGAGTTATATGATTATGTGCAAAATAAATGCAGGAGTTTGCATTTAATTTGAAGTAAAATGCAATCAATATAAAATATGATGGGGGTGGTTGATGGGTCGTGTTTGGCAGTAAAGAAGAATGGCTAGCGGTGGTGATCAAGAAAGTTGGTGGCTGTTTTTACAATATATTTGAAATTTGACCGAATGTAACGAATTTGGAATACACCACACACTGCAGGAATTTAGTTTATTACCGATGGTCAAATAATGTTGGTAATAACATATAAACCATAAACAATATGTTTACTAATGGTTTAGCTACGACAAAATTGACGTAGCAAACACGTTTGTTGGCAATGAAATTACTGACAAATTTAACGACGATTTACAATAATGGAAGGGTATCCAACTTGCAATGACGATCGCTGTAGATCCAAAAACATGCCATATTTAACCGTAGCTTAACCATCTGCTATATAAGCGACACAAGTCAATCGGAAAAATGTAGCAATTCCGTCATTAGAATGTCGCTCAACTGTTGGTTAACCATGGGAATTTACCTACAATTTTGTTCGTAGTAAAAGTGCAACACTTTGTTCAGACATCGCTTATTCGATAGGCTGTCGGATAATCGTCGGCATATTACCAAGGGGTCGCTTGTTCGATAGATTGTCGGAGAATCGTCGAGAAGTTGTCGGAAACCTGTACCATCTGAAAAAATTGAAAACCCTATTTTAATGCTACATTCTACACACCTGCAATTATAACGATGCAATCAAAACGCAACACAACACAGTAACAAAATTAATTAACGCATAAATCATATAAAAAAATAAAATAAAAATAATTAAATTAAATAAAAAAAAATGCACAACTGCATAATAAAAATAATGTTGGCTAACAATTAATTGCTTAATACAAAAAAAAAAAAAAAAATCTACTGATCCTCCTCATCCTCACGCGCCCTCTCGTCATCATCATCATCATCCCCACCCCTATCTTGCACTAGCTCCTTGACTTTCTGCAGTCTAGAATGCATCACTTATTTAATATATCTCCTATTTTTCTTCATTAATTATGACCTTTAATTATTTTTCTAAAACTCTAATTTAATCATTTCTCAAATATATGTAGTTAATTCACCAAACAACCAAATTTTTTTATTGAACTCTTAGTTTTAACCCTTTTATAATATGATATATTTTTCTTGAACCTGTATATCACATGCTTGTTGTTCACCATCCAGACTCATTTTTCTCTCTTACGTAACATAGGTCATCCATACAGGTTCTACCGACAGTGTTATTCTTTCCTCTTCTGCTTCTTCCAGCAATAACTCAACTTTCATTCTCCCCATATTTTGTTCACTTCTGCTCATGTTCCATGTTTTCAGTATCTTTACACACAGCTAGCAGTCTAACTCCCCCATTACAGATTCTTTCGAATAGCATTAAAGACTGCCGTCGAACAGCACCAATATGACATTCCAGCGATGATTCCGAGCTTCGATATTCATCAATGGCATATAAAGCAGACATGTTTAGTCATATCTGTTCACCCGAAATTCTGCATTGGTTAGAGGTATGCGGATCTTCCGCGGTCGCTCTGGACAACTTCAAAGAACATATGTCAAGCATTAAGTGTCCAACAACAAGAGGACATGTGACAATTTGAGCCCGCTGACATAAGAATCGGGCCCGTGTTATTACGTGACATCCTGTTATTGGATACTTGATGCAAATTTGCATCAGGCGTATTGATACAATAATTTTTCTAACACTGTAGGTAATATTTGATCGATGGAGTGAATTGATAGAAATAAATTCTCGCCATGCACTTGGAATCTCAGTATTTGCTTTGTAGCAGTAGATGGGTGCGTTTGGGGTAGCGACGCGGTGACTGCACTGTAGGTTTTTGGTTTGACAAAATTATATTTTGCCCCCGTTCTCAAAAAACTATATTTTCTCATTATAACTAGTAAATCGAGGTACCTGCAAGAAAGCTATCGTCCTATTTTTTTCAAAAATAAAAAAAAATAAATAAATAAATATATATATATATATATATATATATCACAATTTTAACAGCAACTTCAAGCTACTTCTTCAAGCAAACTTCTTGAGACAACATAAGCTTGCTTACTCTCACCTGTTTCTTCTTACAATGCTGACTGGTTTGTCTTTTGAATTTTTATGCTCTTCTTTTAAAATGAAATCACAAGCCATCTTTAGCATGCAGAGATTGGCATGAATTTCACGGAAGCGATTTTGTCTGTGTTTAGCACAGCAGCAGTATATTCCTGCATTGACTTTTCGTCCTTCTGTTTCAGATCTCTTGTAATGTTTTAAAGGCTGTATTAATATATGCTTTTTTGGTCGATGAGTGGTGACATGTATGGATTTAAAAAGGGGTTAGAGTGGCTTTCATTTCTCTTAAATTTAGGAATAACCTCATGACTTTGAGTCTGGTGGGCCCCAAATATCGCTTCCCCTTTGGCCTCGGACACCTATGATAGGGTGTTTGCGCCATGTGTCTAATATTCCAGAGGCCCCGCACCAATGTGGGATCGAACCCTTGCGGATGCTATGAAATTTCAAGTTTTTTTTAAATAAATGTATTAAGTTAATAATATTTATATGTCTATATATATGTAGGCTCTAATATAAGTTAATAATAGGACTAAACAATTTTGTTCTAGCATGGTATTAGATGGAAGTTAACCTCACCATAGTTACACGACGATCCTAAAATTCAATGGTACAAATTAATCATTAATTCCACAATCTTCTTCAATCCCCCCTGCATCAAATCAATGGGAAATTTACATATTTATGCCGCACAATTCTTATGTATTTACGTATCTTACAATCATAGTTTGATATTATTCGCACTCATAACATCTCGTTGTCATAAACTTATGTATAAAAGATGTATTTACTTTTAAAAATATCACATGGTATTATTTTTGATATAATGTAAAAGAATTTAGTGTTATGCATATAAATATGAATGCATAATGTAAAATATTTATTTATTTATGTAATAAGTTATTAAAGTTCCAATTTGAGGGGAAGAATATGTGTATGATGATACTAGGAAGATATCTAATTTGGAAGATTTACGCACGCACCATTTAATTTTTATGCATTCATATATCTAAATTCATACATGCCACCTTACCTATGTTTGTAAATATGTATTTCACTTCTTAGAAATTAAAATGATGATTTTTTTTTTATATGATATGAAAGATTTTGGTGATATGAATGTAGAATGTAAAAGTTATGTATGTACATAGAAATTGGGTGGCATTTATGTAAATGCTCAAAATGAAGAAATTTAATTTCCTCATAATTTGATTTCATGTAATTGAGCACATGCCACTTTTCCTAATTGGTCTTGTGTCTTATTTAAATTGATATTTATAGCCAGAGACTTCTGGCCAAGCTCAAAGTACGAGATCAAACTATTCATACGAAATGCTTATATATTTACATATCGAACAAATGGAAAGTTCAAATTTACATGCACGCCATTCAAATATATTTCAGTGCCTCCAAAAATATCACTATTACTTCCTTTTTTTTTTTTAAGTGAAATGAACATTTTCATGAATAAGTTTTAACACCAAAGTGTTATAAGTCTAAATATCTAACTTTCGATATTAAATATGCAAATACATAGAAATTGTGTGGTATGTATGTCAATTTTCCAAAAAAACAAGGGAAGTGAATCATAATACTATATATGAACTAAATACTAGTGCTAAATATGGGTGAGTTTCAAGAATTAAGGGCTCGTTTGAATGAGCTTCACCGTTCAGCGAAGCTCCTTTAAAAATCACATCCCCAAAATGGATATTGCAATCTGCAATTTAAAATAACGAAAAATTATTGTTCTATTGAAACTTTGGGAGCTTTGCTTTAAACCACAAACTTTCTGGGCAGATGCGGTCAGCATTGCAGTTTACTTGATCAATAGGGGGTCATCCATCCCATTAAACTATGAAATACCTGAGGAGGTCTGGAGCGACAAAGAGGTTATATTTTCTCATATTAAGACTTTTGACTGTCTTTTTTATATTCTAATCAATCATGATGCTCATAACAAGCTTGAGGCTAAGTCAAACAAATGTTATTTCATTGACTATGTAGACGAAGGATTTGACTATCATTTCTAGGAAGATCAGGATCGAAAGATTATCAAAAGTAGGAATGTGATCTTTACTGAGAAGATAATGTACAAAGACAAGACTAGTACAAATTCTGAAGCAGCTCCTTATGAATCAGAGATCGTAAGGTTTGACAATCTACCATAAGTCACAATACATGACAGAAATATGAAAGACGAGGAGAGTGGGTCTGGGGCACTCATTCCTATCATTCCGTAGTTAGGTTCAAGTCATTCACTACGCCCGCTACCATTCGCATTTCAGTTAGGAGCAGTCGTTCTCCACAACGTTACTCACCAACTTTTAACCACATGCTGACAGATAGTGAAGAACCACAAATCTATGAAGAAACCTTAACAGATGAAAATTCTAGCAACTGGGAGCTCTCCATGAATGAAGAGATGGATTCTCTACTGGGAAATCAAACATGGGAGTTGACAGAACTTCCACCAAGGAAGAAGACATTGCACAACAAGTGGGTATACCGGGTGCAGACTGAGCTTGATGACAATAAGATGTACAAGGGTTAGGTCTATAAACGAGCCGAGCTTGAGAGAGCTCAGGCTCGGCTGGTGTTCGACTCGTTTGAAATTGTTCATGTTTGAAATCGGCTCATGTTTGAAACCAGCTCGTGAACAATGTGTTTGTGTTCGGCTCGATTTAAATATTGGTGTTCGACTCAAAATCGACTCGTTAAAATTAAACTGAAAAAATAAATGTAGAGTGTTGCATTCGAATATGGACCAAATGTATAGGAAAAAAGGCACATAATCACATTACCACAATATCAATTACGATTTAAATTTAAATATAAATACATATAATATATTATTATATAAATAATTATATAATTTTTTTTTTATTTCGAGCTAAAACGAGCCGAACACGAGTGAACAAAGAGTTATTCGTGTTTGATTGGTTTATAATTCAAGCTTTAAAAATTTGTTCATGTTCAGCTCGTTTACTTAACGAACACGAGCTTTTTTTGACAGCCCTAACAAAGATAGACTTGTTGTAAAAGGCTTTCAGTAGAGCCAGGGCATTGATTTCTCTGAGATCATTTCTTCTGTGATGAAACTCACAACCATTGGGATGGTATTGGCTATGGTTGCTACCAAGATCTATTTCTGGAGCAATTAGATGTGAAAACAGTTTTTCTTCATGGAGAACTTGAAGAAGACATCTACATGCACAAACCTGAGGGGTTTGTGGTACCGGAAAAGAAAAGTCGGTTTGAAACTAAAGAAGAGCTTGTATGGTCTGAAGTAAGCTCCTAGACAGTGATACAAGAAGTTTGATGAATTCATGCTCAATGCAGTGTACACCAGATGCCGGGTAGATCACTGTTGCTATGTCAAGTACTTTGACAACTCTTATATCATCCCACTGTCGTATATGAATGATATGCTTATTGCAGGGGCCGGTATTAATGAGATCAATATTCTGAAGGAGCAGATGTCAAAACACTTTGCAATGAAGGATTTGAGAGCGGTAAAACAAATCCTTTGCAAGAGAATTATCAGAGACATAGTCAGAGGCACGTTGAGACTTTCACAGGCTGAATATGTGAAAAATGTTCTGAGCAGATTCAATATAGATAAGGTCAAACCAGTTGACACGCCCTTGGGCAATCATTTCAGACTCAGTAAGAATCAATCACCCAAGTTAGAAAAGGAACAAGATTGCATGAATAAGATTTCTTACGCTTCAACTATTGGTTCATTTATATATGATATGATTTGCACATGAGTAGATATTACCCATACAGTGAGAGTTGTGAGAAGATACATGAGTAATCCAGGAAAGGAGTATTGAGAAGCTGTGAAGTGGATCTTGAGATACGTAAGAGGCTCTTCAAAAACTTGCTT